CTGTGTATGGAAGCCTGCCCTACCACTCTCAGCCGGCACTGTGTATGGGAGCCAGCCTGTCACTCTCAGCCAGCACTGTGTATGAGAGCCAGCCTGTCACTCTCAGCCAGCACTGTGTATGGGAGCCTGCCCTGTCAATCTCAGCCAGCACTGTGTATGGAAGCCTGCCCTGTCACTCTCAGCCAGCACTGTGTATGGGAGCCAGCCTGTCACTCTCAGCCAGCACTGTGTATGGGAGCCTGCCCTGTCACTCTCAGCCAGCACTGTGTATGGAAGCCTGCCATCTCACTCTCAGCCAGCACTGTGTATGGGAGCCAGCCTGTCACTCTCAGCCAGCACTGTGTATGGGAGCCTGCCCTGTCACTCTCAGCCAGCACTGTGTATGGAAGCCTGCCCTCTCACTCTCAGCCAGCACTGTGTGTGGAAGCCTGCCCAGCCACTCTCAGCCCGGCACTGTGTATGGGAGCCTGCCCTGTCCCTGTCAGCCAGCACTGTGTATGGGAGCCAGCCTGTCACTCTGAGCCAGCACTGTGTATGGGAGCCAGCCTGTCACTCTGAGCCAGCACTGTGTATGGGAGCCAACCTGTCACTCTCAGCCAGCACTGTGTATGGGAGCCAGCCTGTCACTCTCAGCCAGCACTGTGTATGGGAGCCAGCCTGTCACTCTCAGCCAGCACTGTGTATGGGAGCCTGCCCTGTCACTCTCAGCCAGCACTGTGTATGGGAGCCTGTCCTGCCACTCTCAGCCAGCACTGTGTATGGGAGCCAGCCTTTCACTCTCAGCCAGCACTGTGTATGGGAGCCTGTCCTGCCACTCTCAGCCAGCACTGTGTATGGGAGCCTGCCTGTCACTCTCAGCCAGCATTGTGTATGGGAGCCAGCCTGTTACTCTCAGCCAGCACTATGTATGGGACCCTGCCCTGCCACTCTCAGCCAGCACTGTGTATGGAAGCCTGCCCAGCCACTCTCAGCCGGCACTGTGTATGGGAGCCAGCCTGTCACTCTCAGCCACCACTGTGTATGGGAGCCAGCTTGTCACTCTCAGCCAGCACTGTGTATGGAAGCCTGCCCTGTCACTCTCAGCCAGCACTGTGTATGGAAGCCTGCCCAGCCACTCTCAGCCAGCACTGTGTATGGAAGCCTGCCCAGCCACTCTCAGCCGGCACTGTGTATGGGAGCCAGCCTGTCACTCCCAGCCAGCATTGTGTATGGGAGCCTGCCCTGTCACTTTCAGCCAGCACTGTGTATGGGAGCCTGTCCTGCCACTCTCAGCCAGCACTGTGTATGGGAGCCTGCCCTGTCACTCTCAGCCAGCACTGTGTATGGGAGCCAGCCTGTCACTCTCAGCCAGCACTGTGTATGGGAGCCTGCCCTGTCACTCTCAGCCAGCACTGTGTATGGGAGCCTGTCCTGCCACTCTCAGCCAGCACTGTGTATGGAAGCCTGCCCTGTCACTCTCAGCCAGCACTGTGTATGGAAGCCTGCCTTGTCACTCTCAGCCAGCACTGTGTATGGAAGCCTGCCCTGTCACTCTCAGCCAGCACTGTGTATGGGAGCTAGCCCTGTCACTCTCAGCCAGCACTGTGTATGGGAGCCAGTCTGTCACTCTCAGCCAGCACTGTGTATGGGAGCCAGCCTGTCACTCTCAGCCAGCACTGTGTATGGGAGCCAGCCTGTCACTCTCAGCCAGCACTGTGTATGGGAGCCTGCCCTGTCACTCTCAGCCAGCATGGTGTATGGGAGCCAGCCTGTCACTCTCAGCCAGCACTGTGTATGGGAGCCTGCCCGGTCACTCTTAGCCAGCACAGTGTATGGGAGCCAGTCTGTCACTCTCATGGCATTGTGTATGGGAACCAGCCTGTCACTCTCAGCCAACTTGTGTGTATAGGAGCCAACCTGTCACTCTCAGCCAGCACTGTGTATGGGAGCCAGCCTGTCACTCTCAGCCAGCACTGTGTATGGAAGCCTGCCCTGTCACTCTCAGCCAGCACTGTGTATGGAAGCCTGCCCAGCCACTCTCAGCCAGCACTGTGTATGGAAGCCTGCCCAGCCACTCTCAGCCGGCACTGTGTATGGGAGCCAGCCTGTCACTCCCAGCCGGCATTGTGTATGGGAGCCTGCCCTGTCACTCTCAGCCAGCACTGTGTATGGGAGCCTGCCCTGTCACTCTCAGCCAGCACTGTGTATGGGAGCCAGCCCTGTCACTCTCAGCCAGCACTGTGTATGGGAGCCAGCCTGTCACTCTCAGCCAGCACTGTGTATGGGAGCCTGCCCTGTCACTCTCAGCCAGCACTGTGTATGGGAGCCTGCCCTGTCACTCTCAGCCAGCACTGTGTATGGGAGCCTGTCCTGCCACTCTCAGCCAGCACTGTGTATGGGAGCCAGCCTTTCACTCTCAGCCAGCACTGTGTATGGGAGCCTGTCCTGCCACTCTCAGCCAGCACTGTGTATGGGAGCCTGCCTGTCACTCTCAGCCAGCATTGTGTATGGGAGCCAGCCTGTTACTCTCAGCCAGCACTATGTATGGGACCCTGCCCTGCCACTCTCAGCCAGCACTGTGTATGGAAGCCTGCCCAGCCACTCTCAGCCGGCACTGTGTATGGGAGCCAGCCTGTCACTCTCAGCCACCACTGTGTATGGGAGCCAGCTTGTCACTCTCAGCCAGCACTGTGTATGGAAGCCTGCCCTGTCACTCTCAGCCAGCACTGTGTATGGAAGCCTGCCCAGCCACTCTCAGCCAGCACTGTGTATGGAAGCCTGCCCAGCCACTCTCAGCCGGCACTGTGTATGGAAGCCTGCCTGTCACTCCCAGCCAGCATTGTGTATGGGAGCCTGCCCTGTCACTTTCAGCCACAGCACTGCATGGGAGCCTGTCCCGCCACTCAGCCAGCACTGTGTATGGGAGCCTGCCCTGTCACCTCAGCCAGCACTGTGTATGGGAGCCAGCCTGTCACTCTCAGCCAGCACTGTATGGGAGCCTGCCCTGTTACTCTCAGCCAGCACTGTATGGGAGCCTGTCCTGCCACTCTCAGCCAGCACTGTGTATGGAAGCCTGCCCTGTCACTCTCAGCCAGCACTGTGTATGGAAGCCTGCCTTGTCACTTAGCCGGCACTGTGTATGGGAGCCAGCCTGTCACTCCCAGCCGGCATTGTGTATGGGAGCCTGCCCTGTCACTCTCAGCCAGCACTGTGTATGGGAGCCTGCCCTGTCACTCTCAGCCAGCACTGTGTATGGGAGCCAGCCTGTCACTCTCAGCCAGCACTGTGTATGGGAGCCAGCCTGTCACTCTTAGCCAGCACAGTGTATGGGAGCCAGTCTGTCACTCTCAGCCAGCATTGTGTATGGGAGCCAGCCTGTCACTCTCAGCCAGCATTGTGTATGGGAGCCAGCCTGTCACTCTCAGCCAGCACTGTGTATGGGAGCCTGCCCTGTCACTCTCAGCCAGCACTGTGTATGGGAGCCTGCCCTGTCACTCTCAGCCAGCACTGTGTATGGGAGCCAGCCCTGTCACTCTCAGCCAGCATTGTGTATGGGAGCCAGCCTGTCACTCTCAGCCAGCACTGTGTATGGGAGCCTGCCCTGTCACTCTCAGCCAGCACTGTGTATGGGAGCCTGCCCTGTCACTCTCAGCCAGCACTGTGTATGGGAGCCAGCTTGTCACTCTCAGCCAGTATTGTGTATGGGAGCCAGCCTGTCACTCTCAGCCAGCACTGTGTATGGGAGCCAGCCTGACACTCTCAGCCAGCACTGTGTATGGGAGCCAACCTGTCACTCTCAGCCAGCACTGTGTATGGGAGCCAGCCTGTCACTCTCAGCCCGCACTGTGTATGGGAGCCAGCCTGTCACTCTCAGCCAGCCTGCTGTGTATGGAGCCAGCCTGTCACTCTCAGCCAGCACTGTGTATGGGGCCAGCCTGTCTCTCAGCCAGCACTGTGTATGGAAGCCTGTCCTGTCACTCTCAGCCAGCACTGTGTATGGGAGCTAGCCCTGTCACTCTCAGCCAGCACTGTGTATGGGAGCCAGCCTGTCACTCTCAGCCAGCACTGTGTATGGGAGCCAGCCTGTCACTCTCAGCCAGCACTGTGTATGGGAGCCAGCCTGTCACTCTGAGCCAGCACTGTGTATGGGAGCCAGCCTGTCACTCTGAGCCAGCACTGTGTATGGGAGCCAACCTGTCACTCTGAGCCAGCACTGTGTATGGGAGCCAGCCTGTCACTCTCAGCCAGCACTGTGTATGGGAGCCAGCCTGTCACTCTGAGCCAGCACTGTGTATGGGAGCCAGCCTGTCACTCTGAGCCAGCACTGTGTATGAGACCAACCTGTCCTCTGAGCCAGCACTGTGTGTATGGGAGACCCAGCCCTGTCACTCTCAGCCAGCACTGTGTATGGGAGACCAGCCTGTCACTCTGAGCCAGCACTGTGTGTGGGAGCCAGCCTGTCCTCTGGAGCCAGCACTGTGTATGAGACCAGCCTGTCACTCTCAGCCAGCACTGTGGCCATGGAACCAGCCTGTCCTCTCAGCCAGCACACTGTGTGTGAACCAGCCTGTCACTCTCAGCCAGCACTGTGTATGGGAGCCTGCCCTGTCACTCTCAGCCAGCATGGTGTATGGGAGCCAGCCTGTCACTCTCAGCCAGCACTGTGTATGGGAGCCTGCCCTGTCACTCTCAGCCAGCACTGTGTATGGGAGCCAGCCTGTCACTCTCAGCCAGCACTGTGTATGGGAGCCAGCCTGTCACTCTCAGCCAGCACTGTGTATGGGAGCCAGCCTGTCACTCTCAGCCAGTAGTTGTTGCAGACAGGCAGTCAGTACTGGGTGTTTTGCACGCCCTGGCCAGTCTGTCAGGGAATCGAGTTACTGTTACAGGGTCAGACAGGTTCCCCGGCCCGGGCCTGGCTGAGAAATGCTGGATTCTGGTTCTGTTCTACTAATCCGCCCAGCTGCTCCCAACTACTGGCAGCCTCTCCCTCCCAGGCAACGGCTTCATGACGTCACTGCCGCCGCCCCGCCCCCTCTGGGTGCTCTGTGTGTTCTACTGCTGGAATCTTGGATGGACTTCCCGAGATCTGGGAAGATTGGGGACAGTGTGCCAGGCGGAGGGCAGCGGCATGGAGGCTAGACCAGCATCGGGAGTCCAAGTACAGCACCAGATCCCGCCACCCCAGAGTGAAGACACTGCTTCCCTGGACACAGCTGGACAGGTACCAGGGGAGGGGGCAATGTGTGCCAGGGCAGCTGGTGGGCATCACATGCTGCAGTGCTTATGGTGGGTACTGTAAGGGGGTCAAAAATGGGGCATCTAAATCATGGCAAGAGATGGGAGCAATGAGAGAGTATCACTACTTTAATTCCTACAGGAAGAGTGTATTATTAGTACAACTTGGAGAGTTACAGTTCACTTTGTTTTAATTTGTGGCTAAACTGGAAGTACACTGACAGGGCTGATCTGCACATCAGGGCAAGTTTGCAGTTACTATGAACAATAAACAAGAATTGGAGATAAGTACCCTTTTCAGAAGAATGTTGTTATAAGTTTACTGACAGTGTGAATCAGAGCTTTCTTACTCATAGCATTATTCATTAAAATAAACACAAATATAGACATTAGTAATCTTTGCCATAAATCGTCAAACTGGTTTAAACTCTTTGTGCTTAAAAGTAAAGGAATATATATTATGTTGGGAAGTGTGTATCCCGAATGGTATCACACTGTCTTTTGTCAGGAGTCAGGACAAATTCCTTTGGATTGGTATATGCGCAGATGTGTATAAAACAACTCTTCAGTAAGTGTGAGCTATAAATAACTCTCTGGTTACCACTTCTACATTCGGTAGCCAAGTTAAAAGGTTACGCCAAGAACCATGACAACTTCAGCATTTAGAAATGGTTGTGGTGCAAGGATATTGTATATGCAGTGTTTCCGTATGAAGTTACCCCCTCTTCAAGGTTGACTAATGTGAGTTCTGTGCATCAAATATGTCTGTCGTCCGCACGCATTGGATGCTGGCGATGGACATACATATTGTCCAATGCAGCCACTGTCCCTCCTTCCACCTGCCCAGCTTATAGTGACTGCTGCGCATGCTCCTAAAGGTCCAATAGTGCTTCTCTATGGGAAGCATTTAATTGAACCTTAATGTGAATGCTGTAAAATAAATCATCAGCAGGGAGAAATTGATCTCGGTGCTGGATTGAAGACAAATTATTTTACCCTTTCAAAGGAACACCCAAAGCACCATAACCACCGTGTCCAAAATGGGGCAGGCAACCTGAACAGTGTAGTAGCCTAAAAGAACAAACTCTGTCAGCTATGCTGTAGACAATGGAGATAAGCCCACCAACTGATAAAACACAAAAAAAAAGAAAAGAAAAAGATAAACATGTTTTTAGGCTACACGGCCCTTGAAGTGATCACATAACATTCTCAATATGTAAAAAAAATGAGTGTCTGATAGGCTAGGACCTAATGGGGACCTCATTAAGGGTTTATCAGTCAAAAAAAAAGCTAACTCTGTATCGACATTGTCTGCTTTCTGCTTACCCCAATGATTATCACATAATACCATTCTTAAAGTGGCTCCACTTACCTTGGTAAGCCAAATTTTCCGGAATCTCACTACTTACCTGCCAGTCCTTTCCCTCAGACTTCCGTCACATGTCTCTAGTGTCTGACAGTGTGCTGACAATAGTGGGCATGTCCAAAGCACTAAGACTTCAGCACTTGGTAATTTTGGGTGCAATGTGGATTTATTCAGATATCCAAAAAAAGTAGGCCTAGTTTTGACACTATGACACCATAGAATCGGAGTGGGGGATGGAGAACAAATTGCCATGACATATCCACTTTAAGGCAAAACACATCTCGGTGATGGTGATATCTAAGGCCAGTAGAGTGAAGGAAAAGTCTAAAAATAGTAACTTACATTCAGGTAGCCCAGTATTAACGTTAGGGCAAGCAGGATCAGTTTCCTAAATGTTATTTTGGAGTCCTTGCCATCTGCTGCTGATGCACCACCTCTCAATGAGTTCATTGTTACTTTTCATCTTTTCTGGTTGGACTTCATCCTTGTCATTTGCTTTTTTATTAACCATTATTATTCCCTAACACAGAGCTGTCCTGTGCTCATTTATTTTGAATTTGTTCATTTGTACCCATTGGGTTTTGTAAGTAATGCAAAAGGACTTTTATTTTATTTATTTTTTATCTTACATTATTGTATTTACATTTTTGGCTTTAGACATTTCTAATACAGGAAGTGTGTATTTGTTGGTAAACAAAAAAAACACAGAGTGTGGATCTACATTAATGCAATTACCACCCACGTTAATATTGTTACTTTAAACCACCATATATACACTGGCAGGAGAAATATGCCAATTCTTTTTAAACATGGGAGTTATCATTGTATTGATACCCAAAGCAAATTCTAATGTTCATTTGTTTCCTGTTTACAGAATAGAATGCGATTTTCTCATTGCTTTCTAAGATTGTGAGACAATAGTTGGACAGGAAGTAGAATTAGCAACAGCATAATTAAATATTTATTAACTCTGCATCATTGAAAAGTTGCAAAAAAGTATGCTGAGCTGAAGATAGGATAACAATGGTGATATGTTTTATTTTCCAGGCACTGAAAATGCATTTGATAAAGCATCTGGCAAAAATTTGAATAAATCATGTAGATTTTTTGCATGATGCCAAAATGTATAATATATATGTGCAGGGCAAGTGTCTCGGTAAGGGACAGAAGAGGGAAGTCAGCTTCAGTCTGGGAACTGGGTCAGTGGTCCCTAAAGGGCTTCCGTTATAACCTGACGCCCCAAACTTGTTATAAAACCAAGAGCGACAATAAATAGGTCAAATAACAGCATGAACACAATTATACAGTAGGAATAGCAATACTTTAACCTGTATTCAGCTAAAGCAGCAAAGAAGGAGAGGCACTTAAAACCCCTTATCCTAACATACATATGCTCTGTTTTTTGATTGGTTAAAGTCACCAGAACAACTACAGCTTAATGTAGTTGTTCTGGTGAGTAGAACCATTCCCTGCAGGCAATTTCATGTAAACACTGCCTTTTCAGAGAAAATGCAGTGTTTACATTACAGCCTAGGGCGACACCTCCAGTGGCCACTCCTGAGATGCCTGCTAGAGGTGCTTCATGGGTGAGTGCTGCACAGTGTACAGCACTACCATTTAGTGTCTCCACCCTCTGCATGAAGACACTGAACTTCCCTCATTCAATGCATCTCTATGAGGAGTAGCTGATTGGCCAAGCTGGCGTTTTATCAGCACAGTCCTTCCTTGACTATTTCATCCAATCCAATGCTGAAATCATAAATTCTGACGATGTCAGCAAGGAGGGGGGGGGGGGCTCAGCGCTAGAGGACCTGCGCGGCACGGGATATAGGGTAAGTTCTATTACTTTTTAAGTGGGTTAAGATGGGCAAGCAACCTAAATGGTGGTTTTAACACTAGGCTCAAGAATACATGGTCGGGTTCCTTTAATTGTTTTGTTTTATTTGCTGCATTTGGAGTTACTAGAGAAGGATAAGCTAAATATTTGCTTCCTGTCATTATTAAAATTAAGATTATAAGTACACTAAAGCTAGCATAATTGTCAATTATCTGCCGTGTGTGCCAACTGTAGAAGATGAATAGGTCTGCTGCGTTCTAGTCATTAGAACTAACTCTGACCAAGCTTTTGAATTACTTTATTAACCTTATTAATATCTAGCCAGTGGTTACAATAATTCTGGCAGAGAGTTACTGGACTTGGCATCACACTATAAATTGCCACTGGAAACTTATGATTGTAACTTCCATGTTGGAGATTCATTAATGACATTAGAGAGAGGTAGCACAGACACTGCATTGTTTCATGTCAGATCTTATGATTAAACATTCCTAAAAATGGTGTGTGTGTGTGTGTGTGTATATATATATATATATATATATATATATTCCCCCGTCTTTATTGTATACAGTTTATTTATGCAGCACCATGGAATATGTTGGCACGATATAAATAATTGTAATTTTGCAATACCCCACAAGCTATGTTTGCTTTAAATGTGCATTTAAATTAAGATTGTTATAGGGTTAATAGGTACCCCCCTCCCTCGCGCCCACCCTCCCGCTGGGCTGAAGGGGTTAAAACACCTTCAGCCACTTACCTGAATCCAGCGCTGTTGTCCCTCGGCGCTGGGTCAGGCTCCCCCTACGCTCCTACACTGCCGACTTCAGTCGCCGAGGGCCGCGCACGCATTTGACCTCCCCATAGGAAAGCATTATTCAATGCTTTCCTATGGGGTAAATCTGACGCTGGAGGTTCGTGAGGACGTCCAGCATCCGATAACAGGCCAAAAGTCTGTTTGGATTCCGGAAGCCCTCTAGTGGCTGTTAGACAGCCTCAGAGGGCAGACTTAGAGCTGCAATGTAAACATTGCAGCACTAAGTGCAAAAGGGTAACATCACCCAGACTACTTCAATTAGCTGAAGTGGTCTGGGTGCCTACAGTGTCCCTTTAAACTCCTTCACTATGTTAACCTTTACCACTTCAGCTGGAAGGCTATTTCATGCATCCACTACCCTTTCAGTAAAGTAATACTTCCTGATATTATTGGCCTCTCGTTCTGGTCGTTTTCCTTCTTTTAAATATAGTCTCCTCCTTTACCGTATTGATTCCCATTATATATTTAAATGTTTCTATCATATCCCCCCTGTCTCGTCTTTCCTCCAAGCTATACATGTAGTGTTCCTTTAACTTTTCCTTGTAAGTTTTATACTGCAATCCATCAACTAGTTTAGTTTTCTGAACTCTCTCCAAAGTATCAACATCCTTCTGGAGAATCGGTCTCCAGTACTGTGTACAATACTCCAAGTGAGGTCTTACCAGTGTTCTGTTCTCTCTATACAACCAAGCATTCTGCTAGCATTTCCTGCTGTTTTATTACATCGTCTGCCTACTTTTAAGTCATCTGAAATAATTACCCCTAAATCCCTTTCCTCAGATGTTGAGGTTAGTGCTGTATCAAATATTCTATATGCTCCCCTTGGGTTTTTAGGCCAAATATGCATTATTTTACACTTATCCACATTAAATGTCAGTTGCCACAGCTATGACCATTTTTCTAGTTTACCTAAATCATTTGCCATTTGGCTTATCCCAGAATGAACAATCCAAGCTAAAACAAAAGT